AATCAATTCATAAACTAATACATAATTCGACTTTAAACTTCCCATTAATTTTCTAAGTTTCTACAAACTATAGATCATAAAACCACAATCTTTTTATGTTTTTTACTTACAGAAATAAAAAAAAAATAAAACGTGCAAATAAAACATAAATAGTGAATTCTATAAAATTCAAAATAATTAAAGCTTTTTAGAAACGTAGGAGATCTATAGTAGTCATCATCGCAATAAAATAAATAAATCAATCTATTAAAAGGCAATTAAATATTTTATGTTACGTATATCTAGATTAAGATAAATTAGATATAAATAATCGTTATTATTTATATATTAATTAGTATTAAAGTATGTTTAATTTAATGGAACAAAATCAGATAGTACCGTAGAATTTTCTAAATTATTGGAATATAAACTCTATATTATTCTAGATTATAAAATTAAATGAAAAATTGTCACTTTCACTTTAAAATCTAAATAATCTATTAATACGTAAATTTTAATTTCAACACTGTTTTAAGAAAAACATCTGAGCTTGTTGAATATTAACTTTTCAAATTACATTTGTTTATTTAATGCAAAAATTTTAATTTCAAGAATATTTTATAAACTACATCTAGTCATCTTTTCATATTTATTTTTTTATTTTTATAAAAAATTCATAGAAACTCACATTTTAAACTTAATTATTGACAGCTACTTATAAAGCTAAGAATTTTTAATCAGTTTTAAAGCACTCGTGTAATACTAATATTATTTATAAATAAAAAGTGTTTAATGATATTTATAATATATTCCGATAATAAATTATGCAATTGTATTATTATATTTGCTACTCAAGCTTCTCACTCATGGTCAACTTCTATAGTTGATGATGATTCAACATATAACTGTCGTTTAATTTGCCATATAATAATCGTATTCATATACTTGCGAGCTGCACTAAATTTTCGTGTTTCTCCATCGCAACGATAATTTAATATCACTATGGACACGAACATTATTTTATTGATAATAGTATAATTATAATAAATATAATATTCATAAATATAATTATTAAATATTATACATATAGTTGTATTGATTACAAATATATTATATGAGTGAAAATTAATTATATAAGTAATATTCACTGCTTATTGTTCGTAAAAATATTAAACTATGATCGATTTTATAAAAATTTTTACTGAATTTATAAAAAAAAATATCTGTATTCGGAAAACATAAAATTTTCATATAAATTCTTTGAAAAAATTAAGTTCATTGTCTAATATTGTAATATTATAACATGCTTATATATTTTTTTTCTAGACATTCAAGCAAAAATTGACGAAACCTCGATGAAATTTATGAACATTAATAAAATTTTTTTAAAATTCTAACATCTTAACATATTTGTTTTTCATTTAAAGGATTTATTTTATTGTATATATTATTTAATTCTAATAATATAACTCTTTTGCTTCGGAATAATTTGAATATGCCGTCAAATGTATCCTCTATTTATAGTGTATTTTTTTTAAACTATTAATTGAATTATGTAAAGATTCTTCCAATCTAATTTCACTACAAATTCTATATTTTAAAATATTTCCTTATATTATATAGTTTTCATGTTACCTTTACTCTTTTTATTAGAACAGCGCATTAATTTCAATTGGCATAAGTTTTTCATGTTTATCTAAAATAATACGACTTAAAAATAATATTTTTTAAATTTCCTAGTTAAACACAGACCCTTTTCAATTTTCTATATAGTTAACGAAAACTTTTAATGACTCCTTATCAAAGTTTTCCCATTTTTCAACAGGTATGTAAACAAAGCACTTGGTTCCTTTAATTTTTAAATCCATTAATTTTTTGAAATATTTTTTTAATGCTTTGCCACTCAGAAATCAAAATAAATTAGAATTGAAATAGATCGTACATTAGGGAATTTTGAGATTTTTATATTCGTTTTATTCGAAAATGTAAATGACATTCGGATGTGTCTAATTCTTTTATAATTTAAAACTTTTTGGTTATCCCTTTTCATAAATTTTCTACTATTTTCAATATGAAATCTTTCTAATCTATATATATATATATATATATAGAGAGAGAGAGAGAGAGAGAGAGAGATACACATGGAATTCATTTTTAATTTCAATACTAAAAAAATTTAATTTTACTAATACTTTTGATGTTTAAATAAAAATTGAAATAATTGACCTAAGAACTTTATAAATCATCTATAAATATGCTCTTTTCTATATTGCTCTATTCTACTTAGATATTTTAGTTCGATAGATTGTAAATTTCAATATATAATTTCTCAAACTTTACTACAATAGCTGACGTTTTATTAAAAAGTAATAGACCCTACTTCCCTTAAGCATATTTTTATACAATTTATTCAATATTTTATTGAACAATCTCAATATGTTCATAAATTCGATATTATTGGCTCTCGTACTATAGCTGCAATGCATTTAATTTTATTATTGTGAATTTCCAGCATATTTAACAAATTACAAATTGAGCATTACGATGCCCAAATTTAATTTGTAGAGATTATGATTATCTGATTTTGTCAATGTTACTGTCTTACATTATAAACAAATCTTCCTTTCTCAAAATTCTGCTTAAAAGAAAAATCTAATTTTTCATTTATCTGTATTTTAAAAGATAATAAATTTTATTTTAAGTCTGTGGAAAACTCTAAATTTATTCCGTTACACAACTTTCAATGTTAATACTATCTTTACTGCACTAACATATATTATGGTAATTTACGATTCTGACTTTTAATTCAGATATAATGCATTATTAAGTTCTTTAAAACTATTTAACGAACCTTATTGATTAGTCATGTAATACCTCGCTCCAATAGCCTAAAAAATCGTCAGATGTATTCCTCATTCCTACGAACATCTCACTTGTTTATTCTATGCCCATACTCGACTATCATAATCATAAGTTTTATTATTTTTCAACCAATTTTAGCTGAGATAGTTAATTTATTATCCCAAATTTAAAACGTCCAGCATAATCATTTCTCTTATGACCTATTCTTCCGTTACTATAACAATTACAGGTAAAATGATTTATTCTATTTATTTAATCTAAAGTGAACATATACCGTTTATGTTTAATAGAATCCATATTCTACAATTTAATCTTTATAATTGAACCAATTGATAATTACTTCGACTTGTTACTTTGTTTTACGATTTTGATTATTGTCTTTCTAATCTGAATGCTTCACTTTTAATATTTTTTTTATATTTACCAACAATTCTCATGGAATAATTGTATTTTTTTGTAAACCCATTCAAATGCATAAGAATATCCGTTAATTATTGTTAATTATTTCCGTGATGCTACTTTCAACACTCCTAAGTTCTATAGAGAATTATTCAATTATTATTGAATTTTTTATTAAATGCTTTTATTAATTTATATTTTGTTATAAAAAAAGTTTAAATTATTCCATTCTCCTCATATCGTATAATACATTATGCTTATTAACTACTTCGTAGCTTAAAAATGAAGTTATTACTTTTTAATATTTTAAATATAATTTTCTTACAATTTTAATACTTTTAAGATATTTCTAACCAATTTTCGATGTCTACGATGAATCTATTTTTAAATTATATAATTTATGAAAGTATTAAATTCAAAGATCTTTCAAACTCTTTATACAGGCTAAAATCTGTATCTTATCATTGTATTTCTAATATGTCGTTACTATTATTATTTTTCATGTATATTTTGTGTTCTTTATTTCAATTGCAAAAATTAATCATAGGTGTACAATTTTTTAAATTACATCTACAATAATCCTTCTTGAATTTATTTTTCTTCTTTTCTTTAGACATCGAATCCTATCATGCTTTATATACATTTTTCTTTTTAGATTTCGAACAGCATAAAATTTTTATCTTAACAATATAAATATCATAGCAACAAACGGAATATGTATCAATACAATCTTTTTTTAAATTTTTTAGACTTTCTAGCCAGGATACATATCAAAACTTGGCATTTCCTTTTATATTCTTCGAATATTATCTGTTTCTAGTATTTCATTTACTGTAAATTCAACCTTTAAAAATATATCCAAAGTACTCATTTATTATTTTATATTACAAAAATATTTATTAATTATGTCCATCATAATAATCGATCCTTTTCAATATAAATTTTTAAACTTTTCTATCATATATATTTCTATTGTTATCAAACATTTTGATCTATAATATAAATAATATATTTAAAAGTTGAGTAAAGAAATTTTTACATTGCAAAATATTTAAAAGGTATTAAAAATTGAATCACAAAATAGATTACATTGTATTTTATGAGTTTTATAAATATTAATATTTATATCTATATTATAGATTAGAACATAAAGTTGATATTTAAAATAAAAGGAATATATGAAATCGTTTATAAAATTTTAATCAATAGGAATGCTTAATATTATAGTGTATATGTATTAGTAATATAAAGTGCTTTATACAATAAAAAAAATAGAAGAAATCTAGTGTTGTGCATATTTCATCTAAAATAATGAAATTTACTCTGTATTATCGAAGTATAAATGTTTAAATATGCATATATCTAATTAAAGTAATACTTTTCTGATCATACTTCTATTCAAATTTTTATGACATTTAATTAAAAATAAATAATATTAAAAAATGGGACACGATGAGTAAGTCACTTACAATTGTAAAGAAATATGTGTTCAAAGTATGATTCATGATGTCCGAAAAAATTCATGCTCTTTATTAATCTTAATTTCATTCTTAGGTACGTATGCTTATTGTACGATAATAAATGCAATATAATTACATGAAACATATCCTCGTATAACGAATGATATTACAAAGAAAAGCAGGAAAACATCTCATCCATTTAAACACAAACAAGCAAAACCAAAGTCTATGACTATCGAGACAAAAGGGCATAAGCTTAACGTAACGTCACATATACATCCTTCCTTATTCATGTTTCAGAGGCACGAGCAGAGATAAGCGGCCCGAGTGAGAAGTTCGTGCGTCCGGGCAGTACGCTTCAGTTACACTGCCTAGTGAAGAAGTCGACGGAGCAACCGTCCTTCCTGTTCTGGTACCACAACCGGCGTATGATAAACTACGACGTGGAACAGGGTGTGAACGTGAGCACAGACTTGACGGCTCGCGAATCGTGGCTGGAGGTTCCCCGGGCGTCGGACCGACACTCCGGCAACTATACCTGCGAAGCGAGCAACGCCACTCCTGGACGCGTTTTCGTCCACATCTTTAATGGCGATAATCCCGCGGCAATGCAACACAGCCTCGCGAGTTCGCCCTCGGTCATCGCCTGCTCGGCCCTCATGACCCTCAGCACCGCACTCAAGCTCGCACTTCAGCACGCGTACGTCTATGCGGGTAGCTAAGCCCCAGTAGATGCACAAGAACACAGAGCTTCAGCTGGAACCGGTCGCTTGTGTTACACCTTGAAGACTCTGATTTACCGACCGTAGGCAAGCGTGGATCACTGATGAAGATTCTTTAGGGCTGACACTTATATCGATATGTTTTATAGCGATTTTTATGTCGATATAAATTCATTGAAATGTGATTTTATTGATTATCTCCCTCTTAATAGTTTAAAATAGGTTCCAATAATAATATCAACAACTATGGCACTGAATTTAACTAGAAAGTTTACAAAAACGATCAACATCTCTTCGTCTCTTCAATCATAACAATCGTACTTTTTCGGAGATTAATATAGTTTACACCAAAAACTCTCAAAGACTCATTAGTAAAAATACTCCTTCCTGTCTCTTACTGCAATAAGTTCTTCTAAATTTCATGTTTTTACAATAAGGTAATATCATTATGTCAGGAGAAGTTAAGCAATTGACGGTACAAGTATCTTTTAATTATTCATTTAAGTAAATCCTCTAAAAGTTTATAGATTAAATTCAGGTAATCGTGTTTTTAAGAATTTTTTCAAATCTCTGAAAATAATGAAACTTTATTTTATTCAAATTATTCAAAATATTGGTTTATTTTTAGTATATTCGCAGATAATATTTATTAATATTAAATTATTAATGTATTATAAATGATAACATTATTTACTCTGATTGACATCAATTTATCATAGCATTTAAATTACAATATTATAAAATAATTCATTATATACAACTAAAATTAAAAGTAGGTCATTTTCTGTATACCATTAATAAAATATTTATTATCCATTTTGCCTTGTATTTCTTAAATTATAAACTTTTCAAGCAAACTATAAAAAATATTCCATATACATGTACATTTGTAAAATATTATATAATTGATTTTGATTTTTATTTCTGAAAATTATCTGTATTAAGTAGTAAAATGATGCCTATATACTGCATCTTAATTATATATTATAATACTGTATATAAATAAATAAATAAAAAGAATCTTTGTCGGTATCCACTTTTCTTAAAGAGGATGTTAAACGATTAAAAAGATTAAGTACCATAGCATAAGTACTTGTAATATTCTCAAAAATACGTAACCAATAATATAACTTTTTGTATTCGTATGATAATTGAAAGTAAAAGTCTTATTATTCACTAAAAACAATATATTATACGTCATGTAATTAATATTTCCATACTTGTGTTAAATCACATACTTATTTTAGTTAAGTCAACTCTTGCAATATTGCAATACTTTGACATCCTCTTTATATATGCAATTAGGTTTATCAATTGGCTTTGTTCTAATTTTTTTTACTATTGTTTAATACAAAGCTTCATATCTAATACATTTTAACAAAATTTTAATTGAATATCCAATCATTTGAGTGACAATAATTATTTTATTTTATTCTAAAATATACCTGTCGGTAAAGTAGGGACCAGATAAATCTTTATAAACTTCAAGAATGTCAACGGATCTTGAATAAAATAACAGTTTGCAAAAAAGGAATTTTATTTATATTAAAAAATATTTATTTCGCTCAATATTATATTACGTGATTTTATCTAGGATATTTGCTAAGTATATATAACATCGATTTATTCGCATAACATAGAAGAACTACACCATTATATTACAATATCTAATTTATTATCTTACGAATTATTAATTACTGTACGTTTAAAATAACACAAATTGTATAAATACGTAAATATTTATAGATACATCAATAGAGCAGTATAAACTGAGGTAGCTTGCAAATTTTTACTTACTCCGGATTTATTGTTGAATCTAATACAACAAATAACGTACACATTCGTATTAGCAATGCAAAATTTCATATAAATATGCAACTTTAAATTTCCTATAATTACAAATATAAAATCATGAAAATGAATAAAAATTCCTACTATCCGTGAACTTTCAAATTAATTACATAATTTTATTTTAATATAACCAGTAATATAAGCTTTAAAACTTCTTATACTTAAATGAGAATTATTAAAAACTATATAGTATTTTAAAAAAATTAAAAGGAAATATAGAATTAAATTAAATGTTTAATTATATTTTTAACGAGTTTTTATTTGTGTATTTCTTTAATTTAAGATTTTTTCTAAGTATGTAAGTAATGTTAATATAATTAACAATACATATCTTATATTTACCATTATTAAAAAAACATTTACTGTTCTTGTCATGAAAAAATACTTTCAAATGCAATTTAAGTAAGTTCCTTCAATCATTGTCATAGAATTAAAAAATAAATAAGCTTTAATTTCTTATTTGTAAATAATGGAGTATTTATTAATTACATTAATATTTAAAATATTCGCTATATAACACAGTAATGGAATAATAAAATTAAAGTATCGAATACAAAATGAGAATTTATAGAAATATAATCGTTTAAATTTCTATATATTATCAAAAAATTTGGTTAAATAAATTATTAAAACATAAATTATTATTTTAGAAATATTATAAATTAACGTCAATTTGAATGGAAAGTTATATGAAGTACCTAATACCTAATTTAATTGATATTAAGTTTATCATTCCAATAACATATCCAATAAAACTATTTCTCAGATTTTACTATCATATAATATTAATTTTTTAAAAATAATTTAATGTGCTCTTTTAAGTAGTATATAAATAATTAATACTCACTCGCAATTATTTGAAACTGCAATTTGCTTGAAATATAAGATATTTTCTCAACCTATAGAATTTTTTATTTCTATAGAATATTTCTGTAGAATTTATTAATCTTATTTCAATAAACTAATACATACGAAAACGTTACATTACTACTTTCTAAAGTTACTTATAATAAGATTATATATTATAAATATGAGTATTAATATATATATATATATATTTTTTTTTTAACATAAACGCGTGCAAATATTTATTTATAATCTATACTACTTACTATATTTTATTCAATTAATAATTAGATTAATAAATAATTGTGGGAAAACATCTTCTTATTTATCATACATTGAACATTTTTAAATACGAAAAATTACAAAATGAGTCTAATTGCAATACGTATTTATTTATGAAAATTCATAATTATCAATACAAGAACTTGTAATTCGAATTACAATTTTATAAGAAACTCGGTCGCACCTGCAAGGTTCTAAGTGAAAAAGGATACATCCATTCGTTAAATAGTTAGTCCAAAAATATTCTCTTCCTAACAGCAGCTTATTGTTGCAATAAGAAGTCTTGGTATATATTACACTGCTTATCACAAATCCACTGATGTTATAACTCGCGCCAAGGGCCACTGCATCCAATTATGTACGAGGGTAACGATTTTCAATTTTCATGATCCTCCAGAACCCCGCCTTTACCCGATCCTTTTCCCTCAAGCACCGTCTCGCTCTCGCACTGCAGAAAGCCCCTGCAAGTTCGAGAATGATTGCGCCCAAGTTGTATTCGAAGTATTGATTGGCGCACGGTCGAACACTGACCGAAAGTGATTTCCTCCGATTTTTTGTACATCTTGAGCTAACTGCTTGGACTTTACTGGAAATACTCATGAAATGGGTTCCTTCTTCGAGTAGTAACTATAAACGAATTTATTTTTGTATTTCCAGTGATAAAATAAAAGGAAATTTTTCCGAGGAAAACTTGATGCTACTGCTATTGTATATTATGTATCTATTCTATACAAATAATTATCTTGAGGAAAAAAAATATCAACAATTTTATTCTAAATACGTTCATTATATTTCTTAATTATATTTAAGATATTAATTTATTGATATATATTTTATATAATTACTATATATATTCTATTTTTATTTGCAAATAATATTATGTATAATGTTAAAATTAGATTTGCAGTTGAATAAGCTTCAAATTTGAGATATTGAATTTTAATGAATTTTATTTTTTATTCATTAATAATCGTTATAGAAAATAACGTATTATTATTAAAAGAAGTAAAGTCCTGAAACGAAAATACATTTTCATCATTTAACAATTTCAATTTAAAACTATTGCTTACTTAACAAAATTTACACAACAAATTAAAAGTATTGTATATGCCCATCTAATAGTATTTTATTCGATTTTTAATTTCTCCAACATTTTTCAAATAAACTTTATTGTTTGCTTTCAGATATTAAAAAAAAACATAGTAAATTCATTTTTATAAATAAATGTATTAAATGTTTTTAATGAAATAATTACTAAAGGTCTAGAACAAAATGAATCTAATTATAAGAAGCAATGTTGTATAATTACAACCGCTACTTCGCCATTCGTTATTTCTGGATCTCTTCAATAATGATCTCGGCATCTTTAGGAATATCCTCAATTAATATACATATATAATTTTATTCAATTTTAAGTCTGAAGTCAATAATTATCCACAAGCACAACGTATAATTAATTTTTGCTTAATGATTCATCCATATGTTTAAATAATTTTACAACTAATTACAAGTAATCGGTAACAATTGAAAAATTAAACTTTTACACGAGCTTTACACATAAATTTCATAAAAAATAGTATTTAATTAATGCAAATAAAAAACATAATTACTATTTTTATATATAATGCGGTATAATTTTCATTATTAATACACAAATTAATAATATTGTTTAAACGATATAAAAATTAAAATCTGGCCGTTAATTTTCAAAAAAATCTGATAACTGATAAATGTGACATATGCTAACAAAATTATAGTTGTATACAAAATACAACAAAATTTTCCTATTTAGTAATATTAAGACCTAATTTTCTATTTAGTAATATTGAGCTTTGTAAAATTTTAAACAACACAATTAATTGTTCGCATTATTCATTCGATATATTATCAAAACTTTAATATAATCATTAAATTTACAACAATTAATTCCATATATTTATACTTAGATATGTTTTTACATTTATTTAACATTCAATTCATAGATAAATATTGAGTATTTCCAATACATAAATGTATCAAGGAATAAAATTTTCTTCATTATTGACTATACGGAGCATGTTCCATATACGTATATGTAGTTTCTATTTGTAAGCGGAGAAATGGTACTTTTATTTTGTGTTATACGGTTCGAGGGAGAGAAT